GATCAAAAGTTATTGTAACCATGCTTTTTAAAAATATTATAATTTAAATCAAACAAATTAATAAATTTCCTTATAGAATGGTATTATGTTTTTCTTCGTTACATTTCCAAATTACATATCAAAAATCTAGCATTCAAGTCAAGTCAATGCTATTTTATGTCTCTCCAGGTCAACAGCAATGGTTGTTGTGGCGTTTTTAGACTCTACACATATGAAAGTCCTGTTAGAGGAACTGGCTCAGGATCCTCCACCTCAGCGTCAGTGGATAGGAAGTGAAGGCTGGGTAAATGATCCAGACTTGATGAGCTTCAGTTTCTGTGAGGGTACCATCGGAGTCACTCTTCAACAACTTGACGTCCCAGGGCTGGAAGACTATCTGCTGGATCTCTCTCCTACTGAAGTAGCTGCCTCCTCAGTCCTGACTGAGTTCTGGGAGAATGCATTCAACTGCACACTGACAGAAAGTGAGAAAAAAGTGTTATTTCTTATCCTGCAACCAAGTAAAATGAACTTCACTGTCTTTAATTGGTATTTTTAAAATAATAACTCCATAGAAAAAGTGAGAAAAACGTCGCTGTTTGAAATTATTCTTAATTGAATTGTGTGTTTAGAGTTATGTGTAAACCTACAGCTCTCAGAACATGAAAACAGTGACGTTTGTACAATTTATGTGTGATAGAATACACATCTATGTGTCTTCAGAAGCTGATTCAAGTAGAAGAGTTTGTAATGGAACGGAAGACCTAAAAACTCTCAAAAGTCCGTACACTGACATATCTCAGTTAAGACAGAATCACATGATGTACAGAGCTGTTTATGCAATAGCTCATGCCATTCACAATGCTGCATGTCCAGAAAAAAATTCCACCCATCAGTGTGATAAAAATGTCAAATTGGAACACAAAAAGGTCAGTTTAAATAAAAAAAAGTCTTTTTTATTTATTTTTTGGTCACAAAGTCTTATAGTGAAGCTGAGTTGAGTGATTGTTTCCTTTCATAATCTTAATTTTTTTTTCAGGTTTTATCTGAACTGAAAAAAGTCAACTTTTCTAAAAATGGTTATCCTGTGTCATTTGATGCTAATGGGGATCCTGTGGCTTTTTATGAGCTGGTCAACTGGCAAAAGAGTGAAATCGGAGTTATTGAGCTGGTTACAGTAGGATATTTTGATGGATCACTGCCAAAAGGCCAGGAGTTTCAGGTCAACAGGAACATAACCTGGATGGAGGGGACATTTCAAGTACAAAGACCATAGTCAAAGATTTTCTAAAAACAAAAAACAAAATAAAGATAAATTGCTTCATATCAACGGTAAAAAACAATCAAAACAAAAATTTGCTATTTTCTTTGTGCTCCTATGACAGGTTCCAGTATCAGTGTGCTCTGAGAGTTGTCGTCCAGGAACTCGTAAAGTGTTGCAGAAAGGAAAACCCATCTGCTGCTATGATTGTATACCATGTCCTGAAGGAGAGATCAGTAATAAAACAGGTAATTGCTAGTGTGTTCAATGCAATACTGCCTCAATAAATACTTAAGTACTAATATCATTTCATTATGTCATTTTTAGATTCTCCTGATTGTTTCCCATGTGTTATTGAGTTCTGGCCCAATGCTGAAAGAAATGCTTGTTTTCCCAAACCTGTTGAGTTTCTGTCTTTTGATGAAGTTCTGGCAATCATCCTGGCTGCATTCTCTATTATTGGAGCCTGTCTGGGCATCATAACAGCAGCTATTTTCTTTCGTCACAAAACAACTCCAATTGTCAGAGCCAACAACTCTGAGCTGAGCTTCTTGCTGCTCTTCTCTCTGACTCTGTGTTTCTTATGTTCATTAACTTTTATTGGAGCTCCCTCTGAGTGGTCCTGCATGCTGAGACACACAGCGTTTGGTATCACCTTTGTTCTCTGTATCTCTTGTGTTCTTGGCAAAACTATAGTGGTTTTAATGGCCTTTAAAGCTACACTTCCAGGTAGTAATGTCATGAAATGGTTTGGGCCTCCACAGCAAAGAATGACTGTGGTGTTCCTTACATTTTTTCAAGTTTTAATTTGTACTGTTTGGTTGGTTCTCAGCCCTCCTTTCCCAATGAAAAACCTGAGYACATACAAGGAGAAGATCATCCTGGAATGTGCATTAGGCTCTGCTGTTGGCTTCTGGGCTGTGCTCGGCTACATTGGCCTGCTGGCTGTTTTTTGCTTTGTGTTAGCTGTT